CAGTATAAAGAAATAAAGGGATATGGTAGAGCCCACGACTTTGATGGGTTGGAGGAGTACCAATTGCAAGATCAAGTCCATGCAAACAGACCATCTGGAAGGTTTAATAGAGAGAGAACCACAAGACAAAAAGTAGGGCAGTTACTGTGAGGGGAGAATTTACTAACTGCAACGTAAATTAGTTATTGTGAGAGGGGAGTTAAGTTTCTTTCTAGCTAGTTATGTGTTTGTGTTGTGGTGTAAGGAAGCAGAAGAATCTTGGCTCTGGATCTGTTCTTAAACAATGTTGCTTGAATTCAATAAAATTTCCTTTTCAATTCAGAACTGGTGTTTTACCATCATATTTTCTTACTCACCCACCATTCACCACACACAAAGCTATTGCTACTCCGACTCTCACCACTCCTACTCACAAACACAGATGCTTCACTGCTACTCCGTGCCAACAACATATACACATAGCTACTCCTACTCCTACCCAACACAGATATCTCATACTACTGTTACTGCTATTCCTCCTCCTACACACAGTCACAGCTACTGCTACTCCTACTACACAATCTCGTACTCCTGCTATTGCTACTCCTACTCAGACACACAGAGCTACTGCTACTCCTACTCCTCCTACTACATACAAACTTTTCAAGCTATTTCTACTAATATTACACACACACGTCTCATGCTACCACTACTAGACACACACCATGTGCTACCTGGCTCTGACATGAAAATGTTGTACACAGTATTTTGCAGATAGAAAAGTTCCGAGTTACAAAGTTACAAAATCAGAGGTATACACATTATATATTATATATACATACCCCTCTCCTTTGTTGTCCAATTAAAACCATGTACATTGAAAAGGGAAAATTTAAATGAAATAAAAAAACATGCTATGGAAAAGGGTATTTGATATAATTAATCACATGAAATACTTGAAATAATAATAATAATAAAAGAATACAGTTAGTAATTAGCATACCTTGTTCACTCTTACATTCTCAGGTAGCTTCAAGGATCTACATTGAGATGGTTCATTTATTTCAGTGAGTTTCCATATCTTTGACTTATCATTGGATTCTTCACTTATTCTAGGTTTAACATCTCCCATGTTTCGGGCATCCCCATTCTGATGAGTTAAGATTGAAACATAGCATTAATAATAACAGCAATAGCAATGATAATAAATACATTACAACAATCACAGTAATAAATACATTACAATAGTAATGATAAGGAGTTGCATAACTTGAAATGAAATAAAATCATTAAAGAAAAACAAGTAATAACGTCCTACTGATACAAAGACAAGATAAACAAACCATTCCAGTAATAGCTACCATAGATGATGCCCTCTCTGCAAGTGCAACACTAGTTGCAGTAGCAGCAGCAGCAGCTGCTGCTGCAATTGGATTTATTGTAGGCTGCCACAAAAATAATATGTCAGACTAGGTTTTATTAATAAAAGGAACGAGAAGTATAACATCTATAAGTCAACCTTTGTCATGGCTTCTGAAGTTCTTGACGTATCATATATAGAATTCTCTAATGTCCGTAACAAACGAATACCATCTGTATTGGCTAATATTTTAATTCCATTCTCATTTGCAGAAACAGCTAAAAGAGCTCCATCCTTGTTGAAACGAATGCGTGGGCTTGCCTAGAATTAGAAATTAGGAAAAGGTAACAATTAGCAACTATCATTTCTGGAGACCAGCTATCCAATTTGCAACAAAATGATGAACTTACAGGGAGACCCCCATCAGCATCAACAGTTGTCAAAAGCTGAATATTATCCATATCCCAGAATTTGATGGAGAAATCATCACCAGCAGCCAAATATCGATTTTTGGTTGTATCAAATTGTACAACACCCAAAGATCGTTTCCGGAAACCTTGATAAGTTCTTTTCACAGCTCCTTCACTTTCATTCCACTCAACAATAGAGGATTCCCCTTCCTTACTTGTCCCACATGAAAAGAGTCTATAAAATACATTCAAGCCAAAAAAAAAATGTTTGAGCAAAGAGATCAAAACACATAGTAAAATACTTTAATTCAACAATACAATAAGATTCAGATTTAGAATACAAGTAGCCATGGTTTGAGTATATGGACCTTGTACCATCAGCACTATAGGCCATGGTTGTACACCAACGACCAGGAGCTTCATAATCAACACGAGACCCCAAATTGTCATACAACCATGCTTTTATCTTTCCATCTAATGCCGTTGAAAAGATGAACTATAGCATAAAAGAGTTTCAACCAGCCCAATTAGAAACATAGTTAAAGGGTTTCCTTTGGGACACTACCAATACTGCTAAAGGAATCATACCAACAAACTCAATAAACACTTTACCATAGGTAACAAAGTCAACTTGTACCTGAATGTTTTCTTTATAATGTGGGCAGACAGAATAAACTGGAGCCTCATGACCTTCAAAAGTATACTGTTTTGCACCCGTAGCCGCATCCCAAACCTTCAATTGCATAATTTAGTTAGTGACATGTTATCTTCACCTAGAAAACCAAGCTCTTGCTTTGACAAACCTACCTTAATGGTCTTATCATCACCACAGGTTATGACACATAGTTGCTTATTTGGGTGGGAAAATGCCAGGTCATTTACTCCGCCAATATGAGCATCAATCTAGAAAAGTTCAAAAGTAAACATTTACCAAAAAAAAAATATAAAACCTAAATTAAGCAGGAATAACTCTTTATTATATGAATGTTTGCATGTGTATACCTCCAGATGCTGTCGAACATCATCCCCACCATGATAAGAGTATATCTGAACAATGTGCCTTGAGTAAGCAATTCCTGTTTAGCAGAAGGGGAAAAAAAACTCATAAGTTATTCATTTAGTTGACTTCTGAAATTATATATTACTTAGATCTATATATTTAAGAATTTAAAAACTCTTAACCTACCGAATAAAGCCCCATCAGGACTCCAAATCACACGGTTGACAGAAACACCTGGATCTTTGACAAGAGCAGCCTGAATTGATTAGGATTAGTTTTATTTTCAGTCAGTGCAAACTCACAAGTTTCAGGGTTTGGTATAAATATTTATCAAGAACATCAACAGATAAATGTGAGAAAGGACAACCTGAAATGGCATTGAACAAGCACTAAGATCCCAAACTTTGAAGTTCCTCATGAGTAACCGCTCCCTAGAGCCCACTTCCCACAAAGCAATGTCCCCCACATTCGTACCAACTGACACATTGCATCAAAAAAAAAAAAAGCTCAATAGATTGCTTTCCAAGCATGAATAGTAAATACATACAACTAAGAAACAAGTCAAAAACACTAACAAAAGGGCCTTTAAAGTGTAACAGACCAAGAAGCAATGTCTGTTGAACTGGATGAAAGTCCATGCTCATAGGAGATGACCCTTGATTCAGAGTTCGCATGGCAGTCTTTGGCAAGTCATCAGGTGCATTAAAAGTCTGACCATGACCATGACCAGGGAATGTTGCCGACAACACATTGACAGGCAGATTTACCTGGCACAAAATAAAGATATATTGATAGCATTAATGTGAGAGGTAATAACTTGCATGGGTATGAGCTCCAAGACCATATATCATGCTTCCATAAATGGTACCAGATTACCTCATCTGTTATTCCCATTGGTCTTGTTCTCTTAGAAACATGATCTGAATCTCCAGACGGATAGTCAACAGAAGGATTAGTTGGAGGGGTCCTAGGATGCTTCAAAGCGGCTTAAAAAGGCAATGAAACATCGGAGGGCAAAGATTATACAAACCAAACATAACCTATGAAACTTAAGTATGCTAGTCATGAAAAAGATGGAGAATATCAGAAAGCTAAAGAATGTAGTACCAGGGATTGATGGTGCCCCAAGGCCTATAGCTCCTCCAGAAACTGCAGGATGTGCTACAGTGGTTGGATTTGACATCCAGCCAGCCAGGGGTGTTGGCACAGGTGCTGGAGTAGGTTGAAAAGGCTACAACAAGAACCACAGCATTCCAGCACCATAATAAGAACCAAAAGATAAAAACACATTATGCAATTCCAATGAAACCAAATCAGTTTAGTAGCCCACCCCATGTGCACCAAGAGGAGGAAATCCTCCGGCCTTTGGTAATGATCCTAGTAGCGGGTTATTAGCAGGTGATGGAGCCCGTGCACCATTTGGCTGTCCACATGAGTGATCCACAAAAAGAGTTTTTATATCTGGATTTGGCCGCGGATTCTTACAAAGTTGATGCTGCCAATTCAAGCTGTAGTTTAATTTTAAAACAGGAGAATGAAAATGAAAAAGAAAATTAGTTACCCATAATATAAGAATATATAATCCTCATCAAAAGAATAAAAAAGATTATCTAATCAGTTGTTTAAAGAGCATTTTCAATGCAAAAGCATACACAGTATACCCTCTACATGTTGTAGCTCCTCAACATACAAATAATCTAATGAAGAGAAGCATTGAAGCAGGAACTGGACAGCAAAGTATTGATGGATAGATAATCAAAACATTCTATGAACAAAATAACAACCAGTGGCAATTGCTGGCATGCATCCTATCATTGATGAAAATAAGTTGGAGTTCAATGTTTGGAATCTGGGATAACAATAACAAGATGCATGTGAACACCAAATAAGACAAATGTCAATATAGCATATGGAAGATGAGGTCCTTCAATTGTAAGTAAAGGTACCATCAACAATCTCGTGGCCATTGTGTACCAGTAAGTTATTACATGCAGTGCACAAATTACTGTTGTATACTGATTGACAATATCTTAGACTGTAAATGAATTACCTTTGATTGATGAGAGTCCGTAACCTTGAGTTTTTAAGGTTGGGAAATTGCAATTTGTCACGAAATAAGGGATTGGCCTCAATCAACTTTTTGAGCTCGACCAACATGATTGCTCTTGCAGACTTCGTGTCACCATACTTAGACAATTTCCCTACAATACCAGAAATCATTTTCTGTTTCTTGCAGAAATTTTACACCAAGCTAAGAATTATATGCATACCTAAAATTCTCCAATGTCAAAAGCTGTGTGATTTCCTTAAACAGCTCTTCATTAAATGTGGCAAAGACTTTCAAATCCTTCACTAATATTTCTACAGCCTTGGACCGATCATGTCTACCAAAATATTATTAAAAAACCTGAGGTTCAATACTTACAAAAGAATGCCAAGTGTCAACAGAATACATAAGTGAACTTGTTGTAAGCTTACTTATCTAATGCTTCCAGATACTTCTGCTTCCTTATCTCAAAAAATATCTTCATAGAATACCTATTATCATCCACTTTGGTAAAACCAGAGAGATACCTCTCAACCTCATCCCAATTACCATTGTGCACTTCATCCTCAAAATACTTCATGTTAAAGAAAAACCCAGACTCCTGCTCAAGCCTTTTATTTAAAAAAATAATAGTAATATTAATTAGTCAAATTAATATACTAGAGATGACCAATAATAATAATAATAATAATAATAATAGTAGTAGAAATAATAATAATAATAATAACAATAATAATAATAATAACAACAACAATACTAATAATAATAATAATAATAATAATAATAATAATAATAATAATAATAACAAACTGAAATGGAACAAGCCCCACTTGTGAACAGTCTCTTTGAACTTTTCCTCATCAAGAAACTGCAAGATCAAGAACACCAACTCCCTACTGAGAGATGACATCGTAACTGCCTCTCTTCAATTAGACAAGCACCAAAATGAGCAACTACAAACTAGATCTGCGGGAAAAAAAAATACATTTTTTCAAAAAACGAGAAAATTAGAGAAATTGCACCAAAAAAAAACACACACGAAATGCAGAGAAAAAAAATCCACACCGAGAGTGAATCATTTGACTAGCCCCGGCGAAGCATTTAGGGAAGAAAATCTTCTATGTCTAAAAAATAAAGTAAAATAGAGCAGTGAAATAAGGTTTTGGGGGCAAAAACGAAAGGGCAAAAGAAATTGAGTCTATCCCACAAGATCAAAGGGAAAGAACGAAAGTGGCTTTAATCCCGCAAGGGAATCCAAGATGCAACACCAAAAATAAGGAAAAAAGTGTTTATAAAAGGAAAGAAACAAGGAAAAGTCGAAATTAAAATACACATAAAAGCTACAGACTTTAAAGCAACAGATTCGGAAACTTGAAAGAAAGAGTTTTGGAGAAGCTCTCACCTTCAAAGCTCGCACATGGGAATATAGAAGGCACCAGCACACCACAACAAGAGAGACCAAAACAAAACCTTTCTCTCTCCTTCAAGAAATGTCCTCTCTCTCTCTCTCTCTCTTTCTATCTCTAATTACCTCTCTCTAAATATATATACTATACAGGACACATGAACTTGCTCAAATAGGTTATTTTATATAGGAGGCGACAGGGAAGGGAGATGATAAGTAAACTCGCTTATCAGCGAGTGGTTATCAGAATCGACGATAAGTTATAAGAGAGTCACGACTGCTTATATTAAAAGATCAGTTTAATGCGGGGCCCACTAAGCCGGCTTCGTTTTGTGTAAAAATCGGCTCGGAATCTCGAGCTGACAGCTGGAAATCGGCTTGGAGTGAAACTAGATGATGGATAGCGTTTCTCTATTGCCAGTTCTAGCGTTGTTCTTAAGCTGAACCGTTGGATTGGACAGAGAAATTATTTGAAAGATGGTATGGTGGGGTGAAAAGGAGAGGATAATATATGGAGTCCGCAAAGTGTTAGGGCTGAATGTTTGGGGAATATTACGGTGTGTGCCATGGCATGGAGGGAGGGCACTTAATGTATCACGTGATACAGTTCATGATTGCGATACGAGATTATGTGATGAGAGCAAGTAATGACTCGCGAGTCACGAGATGGGAATTAATGAATAAAGTAAGTGAAGTGAATTAAATGTGTGGTCAGAGCGTGTGTAGGTTATTGTCCCTGTCAGATGTGTACGTTCGCCTCTTTCCCCAAACCAGCCATAAAATGCGCAATTCAATTACATTTATTGCGCTTATCTTTTTCCTTTTTTATTCTTAAATTAAACTAAATTATCATTTCAATTAATATTTATTACATTCAAATATAAAAAATACTCTTTCTGGAATGTCCCCTACACATGCTACATTTATTATAATTCAATTTCAAAGCAAAAAAAAATAATAATAAATATCAACTAATTTAAAATTATCATGTGACAGATAATAAATTCCATACATATGCACATATGTAAATAATAAAAAAACTAAAAATAATTATTGTATATATATATTATCTACATAAGAAAAATCTTACTCATATGTTAAGGACATATATACAAGACAAAAATTGCATAAGAATAATACCATCAAAAACAAAATTAGTCATTTTTAGTGTAACACTTGATGATTAGACGAGTTAACTTATTAATTTTGTTCCGTCTGTTCTCATATAATATATGATTAAAATTTTAACCACAAGAAAAAACATAAGATAGACTTGTGAAATAAAAGCATCATACAAACACAACATTCATATTAACATTAACAACATTAATTTAATCATACAACTTCAACATATCACCAATACTACTCATACAACTTATAACGTAAAACAACTCATCAACTTCAACTTAACATGTCGTCACACAATAATATACAACTAATGTGTTGTCACCTATGTTAATTATGAAGATCTTCTACAATAAAGATGAATAATTTAAGTGGTTTAACCCTACCAAACCATAATGATTAATATAAAATTAGAAACAATGACTAATATAAGTTATATTGGTTTTCTGGGGTTTTGTCACTTAAGTTAAAAATTCTAGTGCTACTGTCACATAAAACAATATGGGTGTAAATCTAGCATAACATTAGCTTGTAACATCGAGTCACCGATGAGATTAACCCTTCGACTATCATCTAAATATTATGTTCTTCTAATGCTCGATTAGGAACTAAGTTTCCAACTTTATATTTTACTCGATTAATTGTTTTATACATGTATGTTTTGACCTTGTTAACATACAAATACCATATAAAATATAGAGAAGACAACTTAAAACAACTACCTTTCAAAAGCCAACATACTTGGTGAAGGGTTTCAACCAAGCTCTTATAGTGTGTTTGGATGAGGAATTTTACAAATTCAAAGAATTTTAAATTTTTGGTATTTGAATTACTTTGATTTCAATTTCTATCATTCTTGAAATAATTTGTTTGGATGAATCAATTCAAATTTCTTAAATTTTAAATTGTTAAGTTGAATATGATAATTTTATTCCATCATAATAAAAATTGATTTTTAAAATATATTTATTTTTATAAAAATAAATATTAATCTATTTTTAAATAGTTAATAATTTTAAAAATTAATATTAGATAATATTTAATAATTTTAAAAATTAATATTAGATAATGTTTAACAATTTTAAAAATATTTTTGAATATTCAATAATTAATAGAATGAAGAGATAAGATAAAATATATAGGTAAAATAAGAAAAACAAATATGAGGAATTTCAAATTCTCCCATTTTTGGGAGAATTTGAAATTCTACTATTTTAAGGAATTTCACAAATGCTTAGATTTCAAATTCTTTGTAAATTCTTCATCCAAATAAAGTATTTCACCTCAAGGAATTTGAAATTCTTCAAATAAATGAATTACCCTATATAAATTTCTCTTCCAAACACACACTTAGAGTACCCCAGTGTATTTCCACACCATGAGATATTAAAATTTATAAAGCCAACTTTTAATTTTCTCTAGTTTTGATGTATCTTAACAAAGACATGTATTAATATCACATGCCTAACAACTTAATCAACTTAATGTCATACAACTTATATAGCTCCATCATTTATTAACTTAACACTTTAGAACATAAATATCATCATATAACATATCAATTTTTATCATAATAAATCATCATCATGTCATCTTCACTTTACAACTTAATCAACATCTTTCATCATAACTAAGTTAAAACATCATATTAATAGCAGACAATCCCCGCCCAGTATCATCCCCTGAACACTTGACGCTATTGAGATAAGGGAATTTCCTATCACACCCACATCCAACGCTAAAATACTTTGGCTTGACGTGGCTAAGGCAAAAAACCTCTTACCTTCTCAAGTTTGGTGTGGCAACAACCCACGTCCAACTCCAATTAGGCAAAGAGACTTTGTTTGACTCACATACGAAGTCACTACACCAATATTCAATATGGATTAAGACAGAGAGATTTTTCTCTCTTCATGCCTGACACCATCAATCATTTACATTATATAATAGTAGGTGATCAAATAATAATATAAATATTTTTACACTATTAATATATATATTATTTATTACATAAAAGTATATAAATATTATAATAAAATGATTTTTAATCTTATATGTTATTAATTTAAAAAATCATACCATCAATTTCTCTAATTAAGATTATTGGAAAATATTAGTAACATACCTTTTAAATGTTCTCTATTATTAATTAATTACAAATTACTAAAAGTTACTAAATAATGACATATTCGTTAAATAGGATGTAAGATGTATAATTTTTTTTAAATTTTGTATAAATCTCGACCTATGAGATAAAGTAAGTTTAAAAGAGTATGGTGTTGACATTTTTTTAATAAAAAATCATTGTTAATATTATTTGTAAAATAGTTATAAAAGTTAAAAAAAACTTAACATACACAATTATTCGTGATTGAATTAAATTATATATAAAAAACAAATAATATTTTTATTTTTATTTATTAAAATAACAACACCAAAGTTCAAATTTATGACCTTATTTTTATATTATCTCATTCTCTCATTATTTGGTCAACCCTAATAGTTTTAGAAGTAATATACACATCATTTACTATAAAATTATCACTTTCAAATATTTTAAAAACTGATGTTAATACTTTTTTAAAAATCTATAGTATTAATAGAAACATTTTTTACACGTTTAAATTGGACTATTTTTTTATTATTATAAATAATCACATCTTTTATCTTAAATTTTTTTTAATTATTATTTATTTAAATAAAATATATAGATTCACATAATATCTCTTTTCCACCGTTTATAATAATATCAATACTCAGGCAATAGTTATAGAAATCGCCCGTAATTTTAGGTGGGTTTTACTTATAATAAAAGTGACTTAAATTTTCAAACAACCATTTTAGGAAAGTTTTTATTTAATTGCCATCTTTGACCCAATAATTAATATCTTCTGTTAATGAAGATTCTCGCTCAAAGAAAATAATTAATATTATCAATAACTTTTACCATTTAAGAATAATTTAGTGCATTGTTTTAGGATGTGAAAATTAAAGAAAAATAAATTATTCTACAAATTATAGTTTATGTTTATATATTGCAGCAAACTCGTCCACAAGAGTTTTTTTTTTTTTAGTAAAATTTTCAGTGATAGTTAGATACTAAATTTTTCAAAAAAGTATATTAAAATTGCAAAACATATTGTTTTTTTTTTAAATTACACATACTTTTTTATTTATAAATATGATCGATAATCAAAATTTTAACAACATAGTTCTAGAACTCAATTATCTATTAATATTGTTAAATATTATTACTCGGATGTGATTTTTCATACTTCTTATTATCCTTGTTATTATAAATAAGACATCAAATAATGAGTCACATAGATTAATATAGATAATTATTTATTAATATTATCAATTTTTAAAAAATATAGATATACTAATTTTTTGTTTATCAATTATCATTAACTTGTCATGTAATCTATTGTGAGGTAAAATAGACATTTACGTAGCAATACATATAATAATTGACTTTGTTATTTTTTTTTTGGAAAAAAAATATACTTACAAGTAAGACGATAAAAAATATTTATTTATTAAATTATATTTTCATTATTTAACAACAAGAAGTACATATATTCATAATCATTAATAAAAACAAATAATAAAAAATTATCTTATAAAATTTATAAAATGTTTCATAAAAAAATTACTAATTCTTTCTAAATTGTAACTTAAAATTAAAGATAAAAATAAGTTAGGTAACTTCTCAAGAGTTTACAATCTAACCGGACTTATATTAAAAGGAATTATTTTTAACTTTTTATAAACATTATTTTTAATTAAAAATACTATGTTTTAGACTTTTAAAATTTTATTAGATTTAATAGATTGACTTATTTAAAATATAAATTATTATTGTATATTAATTTACAATTATATATATAATATTTAGGCTTCTTAAGTTACTCCGACATATTGGTCTATTTATATGCCTAATATGAAACATGCTACATAGCACAGACTTTAAGGTTAAATCTGGGTTTTAAGTACGTCAGGTCAAACTTAATATTTGGTCAAACTTCATGTCCACCAAAACCTAT